TTCGTTCCTGAAACGGCAAACAGGACAAATTTATTTAGTTTTTGGCCAGGGAAAGCAGTGGCGTTTGAACGTTGGTGTCGGCTTCTCGGGTCACGACTTTAAAAGATCTATCACAATTAATGTTACTAGAAGATTTGTATGCAAATTTTCCAGAGGGATTTCCCGCCAGTATCTTGTTGGCCATCCGCAAACGACTTGTTAGAGACTCCCGCGCTGGCAGACAACTTTGAGATTTCCCAGAGATTGGAAACAATCTGAAAGCAGCCAGGTTATCAAACCAGCAACGGGGACGAACCTGCGAAGCCTTTCGTAAGCGACCTTACCCAACCCGTTCACTCCGTGTAACAAGTAAACCCGAAGTAAAACACCAAATTCAACGAGCCCTCCTATAGACCAGATAGGTCATGGGGAAAAAATTAAATGTTCGTACTGTTCGAAGGGGAATTTCAAATCACAATTTTTAAAGCGTGATAGGGACCAGGGAAGGAGTCCATCCTATAGATTGCCCAAAACAAATAATATCCTCTACGACTCATCCAAGGAAGTCCGAGCCAAGAGTAGACGCTCTGTCCCCAAGGAAAAACTAACAGATCCTCCTAGTTGACTAAGCAGAATATGGGTATCATCGTCAAACTTGTCAAGGGCAAATGAGTCCTTACTTTTCCGAAAGCAAAGTAGGAATTACCGATAGCAGTTGTTGCAAGTAAATTCCTTTAGGGATACGGGGCCCTACTTAACATTATTAAGAGAAGGACTGCTATCATTCCCCCCCAGATCATATATGGGTTTCGACGCTCTTTTGGAAGCTTATGGTGGCTCCACTACGCGAGTACCCCTGTACAAGTTATATGTTAAAAACTCCTATTTTTACAGGTGGACGTCAATCGGAGTGTCTCCAACTAACTTCCCCATAAAGACGTAGACCTATTGATTGGGAACGACTTAGCGGAAGAAGGAATATGGAAAGAGCCCATAGTTATGGAAAATCCAACCGAGGAAAATTACGTCATCGAAAGCCCGACGAACGGAACCTACCCTTTTTCCCTTCTGAGCATAGTAACCGGGCAATGCCCAAAAACAGTCGCGTCTCCGTTGGTATCGGAGGAAGTCGTGGACGACGTCGACGTAGGAGTAGGAGACATATCAACGAAAGCTCGAGTGTCAAGCAAACAATCCACCCAGAACCAATCCCAGTTCCTAAGTCGGTGGTTTCCGAAATAGATTTTTCTCGAAGGAGGATCTAGCAAGAGAACCCCAAAAATAGACCCCTCTTAAGTGACATCAGGAAGCTTGCTGTGTCAGGAGAAGAAGCCCTTAAAGGTGACAGCTCTTTCTGTTGGGAAGGACTTACTGAAAAAGAATCTAGGATCTCTTAAAGTGATCATCTAGTGGTCTTCCCTACCCTGTTTAGAAATTTAGCATGTAAGTTTGCTCAGGACAGTCCTCAAGGTGGAAATCTGGGACAAAAGAAGACTTTTAGAAAAATTACTAAGCACTTCACAGGGCCCAAAAAATGAAGGAAGAAGTGGAACGGTATGTAAGAAGCTTTTTCCGTGTGTCAACGAGTAGGCAAACCTGTACATAATCCCCACCTGCGCCTTTGGGAACCCTATACAAGTAACAGGCGAACCCTTTTCCTCACTGGTGACGACTGTGTCGGCCCGCTACCAAGATCTGGCAGGGCAACATTCCTGTTCACTATAAAGGACACCGTCACCAGGTACCCGGAAGCATTTCCCTCTCAGGAGGATAAATGCTCGCCTAAAGTGAGAGGCACTGATTAAGTTCATCTCTCACTTCGGATTTCAAGAGAAGTTCAATCAGATAAAGGGTCGAATTTTCTTAAAAATTTTCGGGAAGCTTGGCTCAGTTAGGGGTAAAGATGTTTACCGACGGCCTAATCGACCCCCGTCAAAGGCAGGGGAAAGGTTCCATCAAACTTTGAAGTTATGTTTGAGGTCCTATTGTTTACAGTATTCCAAAGATTGGATAAAGGTATTCCACTACTCTTGTTTCCCTAAGAGAAAGCGAACAAGACAACTGAAGTTTCGCCATTTGGTTAATATAGGGCATCAAATTTAGAGGACCAGTACAGGTTCTCAAAGAAGCTTGGAGGGAAAAAAAACCCCGACTTTAGGAGCCTCCAAACCTTAATAAAAGAACGCCTGAGCCTAGCGGGAGAATTGGCCGCTTTGGAAAACTTAGGGACAAGCACAGAGTAAGATGAAGGAGGAATACGATCGTTCGAACTAAAACTTCTGTTCATTTGAACCAAAGATCAAGTTCTGGTTTCAACGATTTCATCAGGGCATGCTCTAAAAGCCCAAATTTGAAGGTCCTTAGAAATCGTGAAGCGCCTAAGTGACGTAAAACTACTTGGTAAGGACGCCAAGAAGAGGAACTCACAACGGACGAAATCACGTTAACCAACTTAAACCCCTATTCAGGAAATCGTTTCACCATTTTCTACTATAACTCCTCTGAACCAAGAAGGGGTTTTCCGGGTAATTCGGATGAAATGATAGGAAAAACCAGTTCTTCTGAACAATCGACAGCCTTAAAGAATGTAAATTCTTACTGATAAATCTGGAAGTGGACAAAGGAAAACCGAAATAAAATCCCTGATTAAGGCAAACTCCACCTATTCAACGACGTCCCAAAACCGTGTACGTTGGGGTGTGCACGATGTTACTCTCAGAGAACCTACTCCAATCAAGCAATTCCCTACAGAGTGAGTCCCAAGAACAAGGTGAGCTAGAGGCAGAGGTGAACTTCTTACTCTCACACGGGTTGATAAAAACCAAGTAACAGTCCTTGGGCATCCCCGTTTCATTCTAGTCCCCAAACCAGACGAGACCTCCCGTATGTGCACGGATTTTAGAAAAGTCAATGCTGTAACAGTAAATGATGGGTTTCCAATACCCAGAATTGACGACTTAATAGACAAGGTCTCCAGAGCTAAGTATATCAGTAAATTGGACTTGTTAAGAGGGTATTACCAAGTCCCGTTGTCACCAAGAGCTCAAGAGATATAGGCTTTTACAATACCTGGTGGCCTATACAAGTATTGCGTTATGCCCTTCGGCTTCTGTAACACGGCTTCTACGTTCCAGCGTATTATGAACATTCTTACGGGCGGATTGGACGGAAAAGAAGCTTACTTAGACGACTTAGTCATATACAGCGGGCAGGGTTGGCCCCAACACCTTAAAACAGCTTAAAGCCTTGTTTGACGCCTCTTAAGTAAACATTATTTTACAGTGAATTTGTCCAAGTGTGAGTTTGGCCAACGAAAATTAAATACTTAGGATTTCGGATTGGACAAGGTGAAGTCGCTCCTTTTTAACGCCAAAGTAAAGGCCCTCTTAGAATTTCCTACCCCTAAGGATAGGAAAAGCGTATCAAGATTTTTAGGAGGTGCCGGTTTTCTACCGTTGGTTCTGTCCGAATTTTGCACAGGTAAACTTTTCCCTAATGAATTAACTAGTCCAAAAACAAAGTTTTCATGGACCCAGGACTGTTGAAATTTGCATTTAATCGTTTAAAAAGATTACTATCCTCTTCCCCGTATTGCTAAGTCCTGATTTTAATAAACCATTCCACTTACAAATAGATGCCAGTTGCATTTTGCTTTGGGAGCCGCATTGTTACAGAAGGCTCCAAATTCTGACCTATTACAACCTGTTTCTTATTTTTCTTCTAAGTTAAAGAAACACCAAATTAATATTCAACTATAGAAAAGAAGCCTTACTCTCTTGTATGCCTAGAGAATTTTGATGTATATTTAGATCTTCTACCCATCAATATCGGGTACTCCGATCATAATCCTTTGACCTTCCTAAATTCTAATAAATCGAAGAACGCCAGAATTTCTTCGTTGGGCTTTGAGAATTCAACCCTTCTCTATTACCATTTCCCATATAAAAGGAAAACATAATCTCATTGCTGATGCCCTCTCTAGGCCTTGAAATTTTATTAATATACCTTTATTTTTAACAGTATGGTCGGTACTTTTTATGACCATCTATGTTGTGGAGAAAGCGGAGATGATGTAGGACTGCCTGTCTATGTTACAACCTCTGCTACTGTGACAGATGCTAACCCCCCACGAGAGTACAAGTCAATGGCGACCGTCAGTCGCGAGGGGGGAGGTGTTTACGCGCCCCTACTTCACTCCATTATATACAAAATAAAAGGCCCCGGGTTTAAAATAAGTTCTGTAATAATATATCGCGAACCACTTTATTACTAGCTAGATAAAGCAGGTTTCGACTATATATTATTAATTGGGGGACAGTATGGGAAACATCAAAAGTACTCTCATTGTATTATATTGTTTTATATTATATTATTATTACGTTAGGTATTACGAATGTGTAACCACTACTGTAGGACCAATTGGTGGTTCTAGAATTGACGCCACGCGTTGCTTCTTTTGGGAGAGCTGAAGTTATACTATGGAGTAGTTGAGTGGGGTCAGTCAGCTCCCAGCTCTGACTCGGTACGGGTCTTCAACCCAAAGCTCCTAGCTTAAACTAAAACTTTTTACCAAGTCTATTGTCTTGCCTTTGCCATTTGTTTCCCGAAGTCTGGTAATTCATGTCACTTATGAAAGATAACTATTTCGTTACCCTAGACCTTTCTAAAGGAGTTAAATGGTGAGATTAGTAGATTATTAATTGAAATTATTGTATCATACTCTGTTAATGAGAATTTGAACGTAAGATTGGGTTCCTTGCTGTATAGTATTTCATTTATAATTGCTTGTGGTTATTTTAATTCACTAACCAAATACCAATGAAGCTAAACGATTGGTAATAAAATAAAACTAACAAAAAATTGGAGTTATTTGTGCCCCTATTGTTACGGTGAAGATTAAGTCGTAACAGTTATCGTCAGTTTTACAACCAATATGTATGCCTTATTCAGCACTAGATTTTTTCAGATATTGTCTTATCACTTTAGTAATTATGTAGTAGTAATATTTCTTTTTCTAATAGGTTCAGAGAGCTGGATTAAATCTTCCCAGGGGCTATGTGGGGCCTGTGGGTCAGTGGTCCTTGCTGTATGGTATACAGGTATTTCACACTTTTTTCTTAATAAATTAAATTACATTTGTTTCATACCATGTATGTCCTCATGCACGTAATTAAATTGAAAGTGGTGTATGTGTGTTTTTTAACTTTTAAACTGTTCAAATGTAGATCTACGTTCACCTGTGTGGCGCTCCGAATATTTTGAAAAATAAAAAAAAAATTTTGTTTTTAAATTGAAGAGGGCAATTTTCTGTGTGGTATAGACCAAAAAAAAAAAAAAATTTAGGACCAGTACTTACAGAGATTTAAGACCACGAAGTTGTCTCTGGATCCTCACCTGACGGCAACATCCAGTCCTGCCGCTTGCAGAAGTGTTGCCAATTTACCTTTTTTTCTCGTTTTTATTTTAATTTATATAATTTTTATGCTCTGATAATTACAATTTATAATAGTTCTTGTGATTTCATAGCCAATTTTTGTTTTGACACTAATAATATATACTGAAATAGTACTCAAATTGTAACAATCACACTGACAGGTGAACATTTTCACCTGCCCTGGTCATTTACTATTGTCTAGAAAAATATACATAGTATTTATAGGTCCCAGCAATGTTTTAGACACGCTGGAGTATGAAACTCCTTGAAAAATGGTGTTATGACAAGGGTCAGATAAGTGATATTTGATGAATGTGCCCTGCTGGAGGGAACCTTGCCTTTATATATGTTTACTCTTGCACACAAACATGTCTTCGTATGTCTGCCTGACTATCTGTCTGTCTATCTGTACATCTATCTGTCTATCTGCCTAGCTCTGCTTATCTGTCTGTCCAGTTCAGCTTATCTGTCTTGTGTGTGTGTGTGTGCCTGGAGTATATTATGAACTCCTTGAAGAATGGTGTTGTGACAAGTGTCAGATAACAAGTGACATTTGATGAATGTATGCTGCTGGAGGGGGGAACCTTGCCTTTATATGTTTTTACTCTTGCACACAAACATGTCTTTATATGTCTGTCTTTCTGCCTGTCTACCTGTACATCTATGTCTGCCTAGCTCTGCTTATCTGTCTGTCCAGTTCAGCTTTTGTCTTTCTGTCTTGTGTGTGTCCCTGGAGTATAATATGAATTCCTTGAAGAATGGTGTTATGACGAATGTGTGCTGCTGGAGGTGGGAACCTTGTCTTTGTATGTTTTTACTCTTGCACACAAACATGTCTCTGTATGTCTGTCTGTCTCTATCTGTACATCTCTCTGTCTGTGTCTATCTGTCTACCTCTGTTTCTCTCTCTTTCCATCTGCCTGTGTGTGTCTGTCTTTCCATCTGCTTGTGTCTGTATCAGGGAGTGGCTAGTAAACCTGTTGGTTTGTGGTGTATGGGCAGCTCCCTGATTGCTGAGCAAGTGATACTGCTGTTACTTGCATCATGTTTATTTATGTCTTATATCTACAAACACTATAGAACTTGGCCTGGAATTTTTAGGTTATCCTAAGTAATTTACATTATAATAACTGTATTTATGAGTACATGTGAGAGAGAGAGATATAGACAGAGATACAAATATGCACTGATATAGACAGATAGACAGAGATATAGATAGAGATATAGACAGATACAGACAGAGACAGCCAAAGCCAGCCAGCTAGCCAGCCAAATACATAAGAACATAAGAAAGAAGGAACACTGCAGCAGGCCTACTGGCCCATGCAAGGCAGGTCTATGTCACCCCCCCCCCCCTCCCAGCTTAGACCAATGACCCACCTAGTCAGGTCACATCCACTGAAAGAAGGAGCACAACATCTGACCCAGTAGAACAAGCTAGTCAGGTCCAACTCACACCCACCCACACCCGCTCATGCATTTATCTAACCTATTTTTACTTTTCTCTTAAAATGTGAGTGTTAATATGACATGACATCAGTGAATCACTGGTGTTTGCCACGCTATTTGCTCTAGCTGGAGCTCAGTTGAACTGGTGCTCCCTCTAGGTACTAAGTGGTCCCCTTTTTTCATAGTGCGCACACTGAGTGCACAGACCCGTTTTTTCATGTCTAGGCGAATCAGGTCTATCGCGCCAAATTTGAAGGAATGAAAAATAAAACTTGGATCTACGTTTGGAGCCCCCCACACATGAATGTAGATCTACGTGTGGACAGTTTGAGGGTTAAGGATGTATATTTAAATTTGTTAACAGAATTTATTTCTGTTAATGTATTACAGTAGGGCACCACAAATACAGACTGGATGGAGCTGAAACTTCAAATACCATTGCTTATCCACATTTTTAAAGGCATAATTAAACAACGTACACACTTGTATTTCTAGTTGTAGAGTAACTTTATTAGTGTGTTTACATGTTTACCTTTGTTCCTAAAAAAGAAAATGTTGCATAGATTTGATGAATTGGGTTAAATAGTATTGATCTTGGAAATTTTATTCCCAGATTTCAGTTTTCTTTGGATTTCTGATTCCAGAGGGTCTAGCATAACTTAAGGCTCCTGAAGTTCTCTGTATTGAAGTCTGGATTTGTGATGTCTTTTTGTATATAGCTTTTGACATGCAGTACTTTGTTTTAGAACTCTTTTTATCTGATTAAAAGTGGCATTGACAAGAATCTTTTGTAATTGGAAATATTTGGATTCTCATTTTGTGAAGTAGTTAGTGTTGTTTATTATAGATGTTTATGAACAAAACACTTGCCTAAAATGTTACAAAGACTGAACATTTGTTATATTTCAAGAAGGCAGCAGCTTTGATCGAAGTTTGGCTCTTGTTTACAATTTGATTTAGTGTTCACATGGAAGAGATAAGAAAAGTAGAATGTAATATGTGATAGTTTTGTATTACCGTGGTGGAATTTTATTGTTCCAATTGGAAAATGCTGTAAATAATTGGATACTTTTTAAATATAAGTAATGAGGCAAGTAAACTTCTCTAAGTAAAGGTTAAGATTGAAGTTTATGGACAAATGGGAAGGAGGAAAGGAGGGACAAACTACAGTATCCTTAAGGTGAATGTTTTAACAACAAAATATAATTTGCACAGTGGTGGTGTAAAAGGCCTATAAAAAAGTTAATGTACAGCCATATGCTTTGTGATGTAATTAGCAATACTGGATTGTATATTAACCCTTAACTGTGGTAATGACCTCCTTGTGCATTTCTTGTGCATTATAATATAAAATATAATACATTCCTATAACATTGAAAACTATTAATTACCAGTATATAAAAGGAAGGTTTTTGGCTTAGAAGCCTAGTGTCATAGGTTAATAAAATTCTGCATGAACTCAAATATTTATTTTTAAAGTTAGTGGAGTATGCACACTATACATAATGGGTTGATTTTTCAATTAATGTGTATGGTTTTTAAGCAGTAACACAACACCCAGAAAACATAGTGTTCATATGTGCCATGTGATCAACACGTCTCCTGGAGAAGTGTATGCCAATTAAGTGATGTTTCATCAATTTTTAAGAAAAGTTTTTCATACAAAGGGATTTTGTGCCTTTTACATCACTGGGAGAGACAGATCATGTTTCTGCTTGTTCTACACATTATTACTGAGTATCTTCCTCAGTCCATAACACATGTTGTATATACTATCATTACTAGTATCACTTTTCACTGCTGTCGGGTATAATTTTATAGCACCACTGCCAATGTGCTCTACCCATCTAGTAGTGTCCACACATGCTTCTACTAATTTAACATGTGTATTATATGCATTATATTTATTGTCTTTATCAAAATGTAATACTGTACATTGTATGTTGTAAATATCACTAGTGATATAACCTGCTCTCAAGAGTACTGTTATACAAAACAACAACCATGTTCTTTTCCCATCAAGTATCATGCTTTACCATCACTTCCAATTCCTGGTGGCACATGAAGTATACACAGGTTTTTTTACTGGATTTGAATATGACTTAACACCCGAGATATTAGTCAGCATGTCATCTTACTTTAGTCAGGCCTACAAAAATAATTTTAATAGATTTAATGCCCAATTTCCTATGTGCTGTGGATTTGTGATAAACACTTTAAGGGTTAAATAACAATGACTATAAGGATATATTGTTAATAAAAGTACTGGTACATATATAGTTTAATGTGAAAATAGTATTTAATGTATTGTACTTCATAATTTTAGATTATGGAAATATTGGTACAGCAGTTATACAACAGCTAAACAGATGTATTAATTTATTAATAATGAAAAAACCTCATAAATGTTATTTTGTGGAAAAAAAAATAATTTGTCATTTATTGAATGAAAGATATTAACCCTCTGACTGTTTCAGTCGTATATACGTCTTACGAGCCACTGTGTTTGACGTATATATACTCATAAATTCTAGCGGCTTAATCAAGCAGGAGAAAGCTGGTAGGCCCACATGTGAGAGAATGGGTCTGTGTGGTTAGTGTGCACCATATAAAAAAAAAATCCTGCAGCACGCAGTGCATGATGAGAAAAAAAAACTCCGACCGTTTTTTTTTTAATTAACCCGTAAACTGTCCAAATGTATATATACGTTTTTTCAACATTTGAAAGTATGTAAAAAAAGTAGACCTTCTTTTTGTATTTTTACATTTGAAAATGTGTAAAAATCTTTGATCTACTTTTTTTTTTTTTTTTTTTTTTTTTTTTTTTTTTTTTTTTTTTTTATATTTGAAAATATGTAAAAAAATGTAGATCTGCTTTTGTAGCACTGCACATGTGAACGTAGATCTGCTTGGACCGTTTACGGGTTAAAATGCTGACTTTGTGGTCTATTTTCGTATAGTATTAATGGTTGTATTATCATTTTCTTGGTCTCATTTGATAGAATGGAAAACATATTATAGAAATAGAGGTGATTTTGATTGGTTTCACTATGAAAAGAACCTTGAAATGGAGCTCAAAGTAGGGGAGATGTTTAATTTTTGCCGATGTTCAAAAGTAAACAAATGATGTCATTTTCCAATAAATGCCCAAGCAGCCATTCTAATATGCAGTAATGAATGGGTTGACATTATTTGTATAATTATTACAATATTGCAGTAGTCTGCATAACAGTAAATCTTCTATTTTTTGTTTGAATAAAAATTCAAAATAGAAAGCAAGAGTAATATCAGAAGGGCCTGGAGATGTGGCTGATGAACAAAGAAAATGTTATTTAGAGCCAGAAATGTCTGCATTGTTCATTCTGGACACTATTTTGAAATTGTCACATTTTACTTTTTTGGCGAGAAATTGGCCAATGCAATTTCAGACCACATATTTGGGTAGTTAAAATCAGTAAATGGGCAGTTTCTTGTACTCAATCGATAGAAAAAATGGAGTTCTAAAGAAATAGCCATGAGTTTGGTCAACTGGAACCAATGACCATCGGTCCGAAAATCGGCCAAAGTGGGCGAAATCGCCGAGGTCACTACAACTTTGAGCGAGAGCGTAATTCCATCAGATTTTCCACTCAAATTTCGTTCTTTTTTTATGTCATTACAATGGGGAATTGTGGTGGATACAGATGAGATTTTTTTTTTTTTTTTTAGTTTCATTTTGCGACACCAGGAGACCACCTCCAGGATAGGGGTTCGACAGATCAAAGGATTAAAATGGAGTATTTAAGTACATTGAAAAAGTTGTAGGGTAAGCTATTCGTTTTGGGTCAGAACTAATAATACCACGTTACAGCAGTGGTATCTTTTATCTTGCCAGTCTGATTCACCCCTCAATCTCTAATCATTTCTAAATGCCTAACCAAATTTACAATGAACTATTGCCCAGTCAGCACATTCCACATACTGTTATAAAACCGTAATGCCTAGGCTGATGAGAAACATTGAACAGAATTTTTTGTTTTATTGATGTAAAATAGAAATGCCTACATTGAATTACTTGTACCATTAATTAATATAAAATAAACCTTATCATAAATTACTTGAGTGTTGTGCAGTGTTTCGATATTGCAGTGTGCGCTTCTGATAGTGCTACCAAAAATTGCGATACTGCATCACGTCTTGATATGTCTGCTGGTAGAGTGTTTTAGACTTGGCTGACGTCAAAAATATTGGTATACACAATGTAGCATAATATTTACCTTCAAAATATTGAGGAACTACAACCATTACGTCAACACACACAACATGACAAACCATTCCTACTTGCAGTTGGCATTCTGGAAGCTGCTTTGCCTCCGCACTACGATATTTATCAGCTATTTTTGAACACTTTAGTGATCTCGGATATTAACCATGGCACTCAAGAGGAATACAGTAGGGCACTAACTTAAAATGCTAATGTGTTCCTGAACATTGTTTAGTTACTTGGGTGTTTGCAACCTCAGAAACCTATTATTATCCCTAACACTCGGATATATAATACTTTGCCTTTCTGAACTAACTGATTTTTCACACCTAAGAATAACTTCAATATTTTAGTTTCAGTACTCTTGTTCAGCTTGCAAATAGTCTCAGACTGTTTATAGACTGTGAATAGTTACAATATATGCAGTGTACAGCCTTGATTTATGACATCATTCATTTCTGGCACTGGCACTTTAGAACAAGAGTATTTAGGATCATTACAAAAATTCAAATAAATAATTTTATATAATTTTTTTAGTTGTAAAAAGTTCATTCATATATTTATGAAAGGATTCAGGGAAACAGCCAGGCATGAGTCCTGGAGGTGGGAAGTACAGTGTCTGCACTTGGAAGGAGGGGTAGGGATGTTACAGTTCAGAAGGCTGTCTGAACTATGATGTCAACATGCCTCTGGCAAGATGGCACTTGAATGAGTGACTGAAAATGTTTCCTCTTTCAGATTGCTCTTCCTTGATGTATTAAAAGAAAATAGAAGACTTACCAAGAACCATAGATTTAATATTTACAATTTTTAATACTTAATTATAAACATTTTTCCTCTATTAGTTTATACCAAAGGCATTCCTGCTTTCTGTATGTTCATTTTATACGTGTATAGAGAGCTCCTTCTTTGAATTTTTAACAGTTAAATGCAGAAGGGTTTACTAAGCCCTTACCTGTGCTTTCAGCATTATGATCTCCTTTTATGATGTGCATGGCTTAGGGAAAAGAATTGTAGCCCACTAATACCATGGCTTAAGGGTAATGTCTGAACTCAGAAGGAGGGGCGGGGATGTTGCAGATGGGAGAATCTGAATGTGATGTCAGCACACTTCTGGAAAGACGACAGTTGAATGATAAGATAAGATAAGATTTCGTTCGGATTTTTAACCCCGGAGGGTTAGCCACCCAGGATAACCCAAGAAAGTCAGTGCGTCATCGAGGACTGTCTAACTTATTTCCATTGGGGTCCTTAATCTTGTCCCCCAGGATGCGACCCACACCAGTCGACTAACACCCAGGTACCTATTTGCTGCTAGGTGAACAGGACAATAGGTGTAAGGAAACGTGTCGAAATGTTTCCACCCGCCGGGAATCGAACCCGGGCCCTCCGTGTGTGAAGCAGGAGCTTTAGCCACCAGGCCACAGGGCCACCATGGTGAATGTGTTTTTCTCTTTGAGTCACCCTGCCTTGGTGGGAGATGGCCGTTAAGTTAAAAGAAAAATAAAATTCACATTTGTTTGGTAGAGATTTGCCAAGAATTGTGAATTTAATATTTACACTTTTCTTGAGGTTGAATTAAAAAATTATTATTTTTTACCAAGTTTTTTTTTTTTTGTATTTTGTGTTCGTTTTATGTGTGGAAAGTTCATTTTGATTAATTAATGTAGTCCATTTGGACTAAATTGCATTCTGTAATCACTACCATCCCTACTGCTGCTGCTGTGTATTGGATACGTTGGCATGTTAGATGTTTGGGTCATCAGTAACTCGCACAACACCCTTCACACAGTTATCCTTACCACTGCCATCTCACACAGTATACCCAATCTCTCTAACTCTCACCCTCACAATGATGATCATAAGTGAATACGTAGTTAGATATGATGCAGGACGGGTGGGAGTAAATAGGAGAGTGAGCAACAGAGGGAGGCAGTCCAGCTGCAATCTTTCTTCTTCATGTCTGTCACCCCATTCCTCTCACACCACACTCAACCACAGCAGTGAGGAAGAGGAGAGCATTGTATTAAACATGGCAACTTGAAAGGTAGGAAGGAAAAAGAGAGTGAAAATGAGAAAGAGGGAGATAGTCCAACTGTTGCTTTTCCCTACAGATCTCTACTGCACTTTGTTATACTTTATTGTATCTCTCTACTGCTTCACTAACATGCATTTGTAACATAAACAATGTTTAATAATATTTGTGGGTAAAATGAACAGTACTCAATGTAGAATATTGGGTAAATATTATTAAAAAATATAATTGAAATTCAGTGCATAATTTTTTTTTTCAACAAGTCGGCCGTCTCCCACCGAGGCAGGGTGACCCAAAAAAGAAAGAAAATCCCCAAAAAGAAAATACTTTCATCATTCAACACTTTCACCACACTCACACATTATTACTGCATAATATCAGTGCATAATGTCATGGCTTATAACATGAGTGTCTATGGAAAAATAGATTCTGAGTTGAATTTTCAGGAACACAAATTGGAGCCCCACCATATTTGCATTGAATACTGATGCTTGATACTGTATTGTCTTGCTCATTAGAAGGGAAAGCATGTTTGTAATTCATTGGTTCCAAAGGCCAATTTTTTGTAAGTAGGATATTGTAATCTGAGCCGTACTGAATTGGGGATAGTGGAGGTATTAAGAACCCACAATAATCATGAATCTATTAGGCCTTCATGTATAAAGTTTTTATCCTCTATGAATGCTGCAGAGTAAAAAAAACAGGAGACAGTAAACAGAATACTTGAGCTTTCCCAAAAACCCACATACCACTCGAACCACATAACACTACCACAACATCCACCTCAGTTTGCTAGGCCTATACAACCTTCTAATTCCATTTCAAGGAAAAAGTGACTAGATGTAAGGTAATTATGCTCTTGAAATTTTTTATCTAGTACTTACAGTATAAAAAAATTGAACTTGTACAGGTGTTGAAAATAACCAAATTTTTCTTATGCAGTATATTTACCCATTAATGTGTTTTATGTTACAAGTTGATTTTTGGAAAAAT